AACAGCCCATACAGGGACTTCACCACTACACACCAGCCCCCGCTAATCAGGTGACCTTGAAAACGGAGGACATCCTGAACACATCGTGCAATACTCGCATCGCAGTCACGCAATTAGCCGGCTAATGGATACCTATTACTTAGATTTCTCATGGGCATACTGTAGCCTCGTAAATGGTCGTTAACACATTAGAAACTATATTTATAACTGTCATTAAAATCAATGGGCAAAAGGCTTTCAGGACCCAGAACCTTGGCTGCTTTATTGTTCACTTTTTAGTACGTATTGAACTCTTTACGCTGCTCGGAAAAAGAACGCAAAAAGCACTGCAACAACATGCTCCTCATTTCAAACATGTTTTTTTTTTTTCAAACCAGTCACATGCATTCAACAAAAAGGCAGAAAAAAGGAATATGAATCAATATTAATGACCTGACATCCCTGTTCTGTAAATCCAACCTTTGAATCTACTTGAGAGTGTCAGCACTCCCTCCCCCCACCCCCCGTCATTATTAGCCTTTTCATAATAACCTAACTAAGCTGAAAAACGCATGCAGCCCTTACTTAGCCTGTAGGTACATGTCGTCATAGTATGTAGCTTCTCCCCTGCAGAATAGACCAAAGATCAAACAAAGAAAGTATGACACCGACAGAGGGAAGATGAAAAATGAAAGAGGATGAAATGATGGATGAACAATAGTTCAGCACATATATTACCAAAGATTTTAAATGTAAATCTAAATCGGGCCTGTCACGGAAACAAAATGGATAGAAAAGGATTAGTCCCCCAAAAAAAAAAAAAAATGGAACCGATACAAAATATTGATGCTGTCCTTGTTTTTACGACCACGTTAGGCCACGTATAGTGACGATACATATATATATAAAAATTAATATATTTGTGTATATATACAGTATATACAAATGTACACATGTATATATGTATTTATATGTATAAATATGTGTATATATTTGTACATATACACAGATATACTGTATATATAGATATATGTGTATATATAGATATATATGTACTGTAAATATACACATAATTGCATTTGTAGGAGATGTACTGTACTTGGTCCACGATCCACGTTATTGAGCTTCAAAGGCTTTCGTAATGACTGTTACACAGGAGGTCAGGTCACAACCCCTACTGAAGCTAAGTGCGTTAATCGGCGGATTAACGCGTAGCTACAATTAGAGCGACCGCAACAGCAGCAGCCACACTTTCTACGAGTGGAGCTTCAACTCTTCGACTCTACACACATCCTACACTGCCTTTAAGCAGCAAAATGCTTTTAATTGCAAAATATCCTGCGTGTGACATTAATGGCAGACTCTGCTCTAACAGCGCAGTGATGTAAACCAGCGCGGTCTCAACTAGAAGATCATGCAACTCAGGAGAACATCAGAAACTGGGCTTCAGTTGACCAACCTGGTGGAAAGGCCTGGGGTAAAGTCAGTTCCACAAGAAAGTTTTTTTAAATAAATGCAATTTAAGGTTTTGAAAAGAAAATTGGTAAAAAAAACGTCCTTTTAGTATGAATTAATACGTAATTTAAGAATAAATTCGTTAAAAACGTCCTTATAGTATGAATTAATACGTAATTTAAGAAGTAGTTACTAATTACTCTTTCTTGAACTTGAACTTCCAAAACAGCCAGTGATGACTTGATAATATTAATTATGTATGCATTAATTTGGGCCGACCAATTTTTACTCATTAGATGATCGATCGATATATTGACTATTGTGACAGGCCTCAAGTCTGGTCCATAAATCACATCAAAGACCTGCATCGACCCCTCACGTCACGCACTGAGACCTAATTAATTACCAGTTAGTGTAAGACAAATCAATGGACAAAAAGGTTAGCAAACATGGTAAGAAAAAGAAACGGAAAGTAGTTACAGTAAAATGTACTAACTTGTCTTGAATTTCCATCTGTGGATTGACAAGAAAGAAAGGAGAGAGAGGGAGAGAGAAAAAGGGAGGTCAGAGTTAAGGTTGGATTTAAATAAGAATAAGGGCATGTCACCAAATGACAGGAACAGAGGTAGAGATGATGAAGAAAACTGAGGGATGCGTGAGGGGGGAAAAAACCGCATGCAAAAGGTGACAAAAGACATGCTGTCATTGTCTGAAAAGATGGTGTTTGCTCAAATTATCTGTTGTCACCCTGATGCAAAATGACTCCCTCGATTTGGCACCAAACTTTGAGGCTGTGCTCCTCTCATTCATGTGCACAAACGCTTGTCAGTGTTATGCAAATGCCTCTGCTTTTTTGCCAAGAAAAAAAAAAAAAGAACCTGCTGCAAACATCCACAAAAATCCCAATAAGCTGCGACGATGTCTCAGAAAGCTCTGTACAAACAGCTTCAGTAAAAACCAGCTCCCACACAACATAAATGAAAACACTGCACACGCCGCCCGCATTCAAAAGTGTTTAGGTTGAAAAACCGGCCTCTAAAAGGTGGAGTGACATTTACAATTAGGCTCTGCAGAGAACTGGGGGAGGCATGAGGGTGTGTGGGGTTGAGTAGGGGGAGGAGGAGGGGGGTCTATCTGCAGAGAAACTTCACAAGCATGTGAAGCCTCTCTGGACTGAGCATGTACGGCTGCTTAAATAATCCAGCACCAGGCCAGCGAGGGCTCCAGGAGAACTCCGCAGAATTTATGAGCGAGGCTAAAAACAGAAACAGTCCAACCTCTTCCCAGTGGCTGCAGTCGGACCACCACGGTGACCCAAATTACAGGAACCAAGCGGGCCCATTCTCCAGGACCATTCCATGACTTAGTGCCACTTTAGGGATCGTTGGACTATATCTGGACGCATTCCTGGGAGAGGGAATGTCAAACTGGCAGACGGAGCCAGATCCTTTAAAAAAAAAAAAAATCTACAGGAAAGGAGGAATTTTAAATTCCTTTAATACGCAACGGGGACGACAAGATTTCAAATGGGTTTGGGGAAGTTTTAAATCATTTACAATTCCAGGTCAGAAGCCAAACTGCTCAGCTATTTGAAAGAGAATGATTTTATCATTATAACACAAATGCACAAAGAGACAGAGAGAGAGGGGGGAAAAAACTAATAAGAGGAGCAGCAGAAATTCACGGGAAAAGCAAATTTAAAAAAAGAAGAAGAAAAAAAATTCAAAATATAAAATAAAAATATAAAATGAAAACATGTCCATCTCTGTGTCTCACAGTATTTTTCATTATCTTGTTTCTAAGTTGATGACGTCTTATTTTTAATGAAAAACATGTCCATCTCTGTGTCTCACATTATTTTTCATTATCTTGTTTTTAAGTTGATGACGTCTTATTTTTAATGACAGTTTGGTTCAGTGTTTCAGCTCTAAAAAGATTCACATTCACAGTCAATTTTTGTGCTGTTTCTTCCATTTAAGCCAATTACGTTTAACGAAGCACAAAGTCTGGATCACTGTGTGAGTGTGCAATAGGAAGAACAGCCTTTGACCACTCCACAGCTGTCATTCAGAGACACAGAAGAAACAGAAGCTGAAGGCACCGACAGCATGACTAACCACGTAGCTGTGAAACACTGGAAACTGTTTTAATTTCAATTTCAATTTCAATTTGCTGCAGAAAAAGTTTTTTTATCATTATTTTTTACGGCCAGTAAATAAGTCTTTTGAATTTGTAAATAAGTCGTTGAGAAAGAAATAATGTATTCCTCTGAGGCTGACTCTTTCTTAACCCAATTATACACAAAAATGAAAACTGGAGTAAGAAAAGAGAATCCTTGTACTATTTAAATATAAAAGCTAACTAAATACAGAGCTGTGAGTCGATATTTAAAATATTTCATATTAATTAGCATATTTTTCCAGAATAAAAGTCTTGTTTTTTTTTTATCTAGAAATTTGGTTGGTCCTACCCCATATCAACTATGGCCACAAGAGGGCACCATATAGCTATAAAAAAATCTGCCTAAATTTCATACACATACTAGCACAAAGAAACACAAGAAAAAAAACTTCGTGGCTGAAAAAGGTATTCAAGCAGCAGAAAACGAAACTAATTGGAACTTAAAAAATATCACGGTGCACCGTATTTTTAATCACAGCTTCTAAATATAACAATCTTCAAGTTTCAAGGTACTCACAATTTACCTTCTTTAAACCTGGCCCTGTCTATTTGAACATAACGCTGATGTACTTGCAGGAATTGAAGAAAGACACAGACAAAGATCTTCTTCAACAGCTCCTAGACTCTCGCTCTCTTTTTTTTAGTTTCTATCACAGCCATCTACTCTTTTTTTTTAGTTTCTATCACAGCCATCTGCTGCCATCTGCTGTAAGAGTGTTTAATTATTCTGCCCATCACTGTCATAGACAAACTGGATCATTTCCATGGCACACTTTACGATGTCCAACACCAGTGTGCTGTGACGTTTTATGCTACTGTGTGGATTAAAAAAGTTTTTTCTAGTTTACACCTGCTTTCTAGGTTCTTGAGAAATAGAGGTTGAATTCGAGATGTGAATAACACACCGGTATAGTTCGGAAAATATGTTGCTGATGATGAACCACACCACAGAAGTCCATCTGCCAACACGATCCCTGGTTTGTGAAAAAAAGTCCCTGGCTCATTTCCTTCAGTCTAAACTGAACCCTGGAGATATGTCAGATAAAAACCTCCTCTGTAGCGCCTTCATTTCATCCGTGACCACCGTTGGTCATGACACATTCCATGATGTCATGCTCCTTTCACCGTTGCTGGGATTTTAACCATCAAAACAGGCGCTTGCAAAAAAAAAACCGCAGTGGTTCCTAACATCTGTGACATCATTCTGGAGAAACCCTGCAGTCGTGACTAAAGCACAATCTTAACCTAATGCCGTTTAAATTTCCCACAGGAGTTATTAAGTCGGTATTGTAAACCCAGAATAATGAGGTGTAAAAAAACACACATTAGAACCACATCAGTCACTTTGTGGTTCCAAGGGTGAAAGTGTTTATTTGTCCACCTACCCATTGTGTGGCTGCTGCAGATCAGCACTGCCCTGTGAGTGCGGACTGCTAAGTTTGGGCGAGTAGGCAACAGGTTTAATAGCGGGTCCTGCGTTGCCACTAACACCACCTGCTGTAAATGGCCTCGCCATCTTGTTAATGCTCGTGCTGGGGGCAAAGGAGTACTTTGGTTGAACAGAAGCCGGAGCAAGTGAGTCCTATGAGGCCGTGGGAGAGGGAGACAATGCAGCACAGTGCACAACATGCAGTTAGACATTTCTGACACACGGTAAAAACGGCCGTATGCTGTTGCACAATCCCAGGCGTTGCGTTAGAGGAAACCGTCCATTGTGTTTTCTCATAGCAAATGATTACCCCGAGCTGCAGGGGCAGCTCATTCGAGGCCTGTGGGATTTTTTTTTTCCCCCCACTGCTTAGAAAATGTGAACACTAATGTTTTAGTTGTGCTGGCGTTAAGCCGACAGAGGCTAAAGTTAAATGCTATTGTCACTAAAAAGAAAATGCTCAAAGGGAGAGATTTCCATATTTGACTGACGTGACTTGACTAATGGGATTCCTCTGTGAGCATCATGCATGGACGGCAAAAGAAGGGCTTCTTAAAATGGAACATTGACTTTGTGTGAGCATTATGCTCCAGCTGCTTCACTAAAACAGCCACTCACATAGACTGGAATCAGCTGGGCACGCAGACCTTCAGAGGTCTGGCTGTGAAAGTTAAAGCATTTCTCATCAGGGATTGTGCAACGCATTACAAAAGGCTGCAAGGAATCAAAAAAAAAAAAGATTCACCACACTCTGTCTGGCAAACATCTCATTTAGCAACTCACTGAGGCTTTGCTAATGCTTAGCGCATGGAGTGTGTGAGAGTTTGACAGGTGAATCAGACGGATTTAAACACAAGGTGACACCACACACTGGTCTGGACGATCGTGAACAACAGCTTGAGGAAGTTTCTGATTTAATTAATCCTGTCTTTAGCTCAGTAGTAGACCATGCACAGACATCACCGTGACAATTACGGTCTTACCTTCTGGTCTTCACCTGATTTGAAAGCTCTGTGGAGAGAGAGAGAGAGAGAGAGAGAACATGGAGAAGGTCAACTCATGTTGAAGGAAACATTTTATTATTTAAGTGCATTACCAAAAGACCGACTTTAAGAAACTGGAATTTTTCATAAAAAGTACAACAATTTCATTGTACAAATCCTGAGGATATGTCAAAGTAAAGACTGAAGAGATTCCGTTTCTCCACAAATATTTAAGAGGGCTTGGCCTCACTGGTGTGTTTTTTGGCAGTCCTGCTCCTTTGTTAAAACAACAGTCTAGTTGAACTGCACAAACAGGGTGTTACAGGAAACGCTAACATGCCTGAGTCACTTTCACTGGAGGTATTGCTAATAAGTGATGAGATAAGTTTAAAATTGCAAAACCGGTAACACCTTGGATCTAAAGAAAACACATTATACGTCTATTACAAATTATCTGACGACTATACAATTAAACCAGCGTTGATTGTTTTTTAGACATTGCTTGGATTGTGCTGAGGTTGACATTGTCATAGAAAACACCATTTAAAGGACTCTACTGCCTTAATCCTATATGTGTCTATATAGACCATGTTCATAATTGTGTAAATAACAACATGTATCATCTGCATATTAGAGCGACAAAAAAAAGAAGGAAAAAACAGGTCAATTTGCCTGTAATAAAATTAGTAGAAAAATTCAATCTGATTAAAATTCCTCATGACTTAATCATAAAAAACACAACAAGATACAGTGAATAAAAATGATGATGATCCCTTTTTTTTTTTTACAGTTCTGGATACTGATTTTGTTTGGTTTTCCAGTACAGATGACTGAGCCTCTGTTTCACAGACCAGTAACTGACGCCAGTCCATATCTAATATATCAACTGAACAAACCAGAACGACAGTAAAGGCAACAGGCGCCAGGAGAGAGAGAGAGAGAGAGAGAGAGAGAGAAAAGAAATCGAGTGTTAAAATCACTTCAGTTCACTCTGCATCATAAATGCTATAAACCTCAGTACTTCCCAAACTGCGACGTCCACATTATTCACAACCAGTTATGATTACTGCAGGTGGTCGAGCGATGTACTTGTCCAAACTCTAATCCCAGGATTATCATAATCACATCGATGATCCAGCACATGGTTCATTAAATATAATATATATATATATATATATATATATATGTATATGTAAATACACATGGAGTCGCCCTGTGTGACAACGCTCGTCAGCCTCCCTCAACAAAAGAACACACCCCGCCTCCATCCCCACTGTTTACAGAACACACAGAGCAACAATTAGGTTAAGGAAGAATGACCCACCCGCCCTTTTTAACCCACACAGTTACCCTTATTGTTTCAGACTACACAAACGCTTCCTGTGTCAGTGACGGAGAAACACCCGCGCCGACACCGCCTGGTCAACAATACAAGGATAAATGATCCAAGGACAGGACAGACGGGACAGAGGACAAGATCAGCAGAGAACTGACATGTGGGCGAACGTCTGGTTCCAGCGAGGATAAATAAACGTGACACTCACAAAATGTTTCATGACTCACAGCTAAACTCCAGGATCGACAGTAAGGAATGTTTAGAGAAGTTGTTCTGGTTCTGTATTTACTCTGGCGAGAAGAAGTGAAACGAACAAACATGGACTTGATTAAGAATAAGTTCCCTGGACGGAGTTTGACCTGAGCTGAAACAGAATATGCACGCTCTATGAGATCATTTCCTGCCCGGCTTTATAAGTCACCTATGCAGATGATGGTTGCTTGACTTTTCAGGCCATTTCCACATAAAATCAAAGGCTGTGAATAAAAAATGGACTTAGCCACTGGTTTGAAAAATTAAAGCAGGTTTTTAAGGCTTACGTAACGTGCACATCACCACTCGGGGAATTGTCAGGACAGTCCTTGCTGTCAATCACACAGTCTCTATCTCCCACTGCGCTTCAATATCTAAACGGGGTCATAACTCTCAACTGACTCAAAACTGACATTAAGTTTTATTGAAGAAGACCAGAAAATAGTGGTCGAGACGTAAACTCCTCAGGAAAAATTTTACTGACGTTATAAATCAGGTGAGAAGTGGGGTCACTCTCCCCGAGACGTTCACAGAGAGCTCAGTTTTGCCCCCTGGTGGTCCACTGTTCTGTGCTACTCTTAACCTACTTTCTCAGCTTCATTTTTATGGTGTGTTAACACCATCAGTGTTTAGTAACACTACCCGACACTGGAGCATTTTAACCCCCGATTGGATTCCTTCGAGTCACTACGAATTAAGTCTGAGACCGCTAAAGCAAACCAAAGATCTACACTCGGTCTCGGAACACTTATGTATGAACTTTTGGCCCGGTTCATCGCTGGTGTGAACTCTATTTGCACCGATTGCATACATGCATTTATGACCACGGCCTAATTGTTTCCTCACAAGGCATGAAAAAAAATCCCAAATCGAATCGGCTAAAAGATCAAAGTGTGTCAGACGTAGGGCTGTCACTTTATCAGAGAATCAAGTTTGAATACATTTACGTGACACGTTAGAACTTCAAAGATGTTTCGAGATCTAACGCGTCACACAGCCGCTACGACACACTCAAGCACAGTCTCAAGTCTCAAGACAAAACTTGTCATTCCGAAGGTTCATAGCTTCCAGACAGAAATTCTGCTGAGGCGATGAACCAGTGAAAGACGTCGTTGAATTAAACATGTCTCTTCTCACATTCTTTGTCCGACCAGGAAAACAATTCAGCTACCGTAGTAACTGTAAACAACACATAAGCTTCTGGTGAAAGGTAGCTAAAGGTAGCTAATAAAATGTGCCGTACTTAGCGAGTAGTCTGGGCAGACACTGACCAAATACCATACGCTGTTTTTTATGCTAGTTTAGCATGTCTGCTAGCAAAGAAGCAGCAACGTCTTGTCTTCTGCTGATGGCTAATCTAAGGTGAAGTAGCGGTGACAGCATCCTCTGTAGGACAACCAAAACTTCACATGCATAAAATTATTAACCAAAATTATTTCAACCTTTGAAAGTGGAATGCTTCAGCTCAGCTTAAGGTCTCCTTTAGTCTAGCTAAGCTAAAGGTATTCTTACCTCAGATTAACTCACTATTGTATAATAATAGGCCCTGGGATGTATCTTAACATAATAGGTTTTCTTATCTTAAAAAAAAAACTGCATCCAACACCCATCTTGTGCACAGTAATAACTAACTAAAGTGAACCAATAGAATCACAGAACTTGGTCCATTTTTTTGGTTCTGATTTTTCTAGGGGAGAAATATACATAAAACTTTAATACAGTACCTTACAAAAAAAACAAACATTTATGACTCTCCTAGACATTTGAAAAACATGAGGCCCTAAACCCAACAAAAAGGCTGCATCTTGTCATTGTGCAGCTGTCCTCCTCTCTAACATAAATGAACGCGTTGACGGCAGCCAAGATGGGAATAAATAAACCTGGCCATAGCTCATCTGGACAACGTCTTGTCTTCTGCTGATAGCTAATCTTAGCTATACCTTGCTAAGCTAAAGGTATTCTTACCTCAGATTAACTCACTATTGTATCACAATAGGCCAAGGGATGTATAAAAGGTTTTATCTAAAAAAAAAGTACATCCAACACCCATCTTGTGCACAGTAAAATTGGTCCATTTTTTTGGTTCTGATTTTTCTAGGGGAGAAATATACATAAAACTTTAATACAGTACCTTACAAAAAAAAAAACAAAACATTTATGACTCTCCTAGACATTTGAAAAACATGAGGCCCTAAACCCGACAAAAAGGCTGCATCTTGTCATTGTGCAGCTGTCCTCCTCTCTAACATAAATGAACGCGTTGACGGCAGCCAAGATGGGAATAAATAAACCTGGCCATAGCTCATCTGGCTTAAGTGTTGCAGGAGAACAATATTTGCTTGTCTTACACTACAATAACAACGGGCAGGAGCAAGATAAAGAAGGGGAGACTGGGATTTTAGAGGAAGGGAGTTAGTTATGGGTAAAGAAGAATGTGAAATGTCGACCTCCTCTAGCAGTGCTCCTCCAGCAGATGAGAAATAGACAGGTCAAACCACAGTGAACAGGGAGAATATGGCTGCTGCTGCTG